AAAAGAAAAGAAAAATAAAGAAATGACAGATGAGTTGACCCTTGAACCGTGAGGAGCTGATCACAGGAAGATGACAGAAAAAAGCATTCCAGGCTGTGAGAACAGCACGTGCAAAGGCCCTGAGGCAGCAAAGTGCTCAGGTATCTGAAGCAAGAAGGCCAATACAGCTGAAATGGGGCCAAGAAGGAGGACTACATTACAAGGTACATAATATTAGAACCTATTTCCAGAGCAAAGACTGCCCACATTAATTCAGCTTCTCATTGCGGGGCTGAATACAGAAGTACACCTGAACATCTTTGAAATCAAAGTTTTATCTCTGTGCAATAAGCAGATCTGAAACTCAAAGGGGCAGCGGGGAAGGAAGTTCTGAAGCAAAGGACAGAGGCCTTCTGAATCTGAATTTTTCACTTCTAAACAGCCATTTCATCTTAAATTTCAGGGGATCACTGGGCATCTCTGAAATCGAATGGGATTTCATTTGTGCATTTTTCCCAAGGAAAAAGCTATAGCTTTGATGGGATTCTCTAAGGAGTCCACCCTCAAACTTCAAAATATTCAGGCTTTCAAAAGGATTGCAAAGTCAAGTAATCAATATAGCTACCATGAACTTGGTCAGCACTGCCATCTGCAGACCCCCTGGGTTCTCATGACAGCCAAAATTCATGAAATTCCAGACTACGAGTCCAAGGACACTCTGACCCCAGGGCAGCCCTTCCCAGAGCATGCAAGAGAGGGGCTTCCCTTTCCTGAACCAGGGGGTGTCTAAAGTACCACGGGCTCACTCCAAGGAATTGCATAAAATTATTTGGCATGGAGGAAGGAAATGTCAGAATTACTTTGTATAACCCTCAGTCATTAAAAATGAGAGATCAATTTAATACACCTGCTATTAGAATGCCCATGTCAGATGGCGGAAACCAGAACCTGGGAACCAAGGGTTGTAATTACCAGCAGAACCTTCACTGGGACAGGCTGCCCATATTGTGGTTACAGGCGTCCCTGAAGGGGGATGCCCAGATTAAATTTACTTTTGACTACACTAACCATCACAAATCAGACACGCAGCTTAACAAAAATGCCCCCCGCTTTTTTTTAAATCACAGCAAAACCACAGCCCAAAGATAATACTGACAATGCAAGCACAAGAAAAAAATAAAGTAGACACCCCTTCCCTTCTTTTCAATAGATTCCTACAAGGTTAAAACAGTGAAAGTCTATTGAGATCAAAATGAAGACTCACCAAAAATAACCAAAACTCTCAGAAAGAATAACATGGATTTATTTATTAATGATGAATTTCACCCTCAGTGTACATTATGCTGTGTGATATTAGCTAATGATAGAATGAAGTCATCACAATTAGCAACAGATTTCAAAGTAATATTTATTTCACCTATAGCTCAGTCTAAACCTTCTTAGGCATACTTACAATGGACCCAATAATCTTGTGTGAATACATGTGCATGCCTACACTCAGTAAAACAAATGTGCACATATTGGGGAGCATACAAAAACATTCTATAAATAGGGGTGTGTCCCCCAAATTTGATAAATTAGATGGTGAAAAGAAACAGCTCTGTGCCAAAACCCAAACAAAGGCTTAAGGATTTGGCATGTGTTTGTAGGACATAGTTTGGTCTCAATCTTCAATGAGCATCCATATCACCTAGGAAATCTTGTTACAATGCAGTCTCTGACTCAGTAAGTCTGAATCTCCATCACCTGCTCAAGCTCCCAGGGGATGAAGATTCTTCTGGTTCACAAACCAGACTCTTGAGTAGCAAGATCCTAAGGGTGCTGGGTGGCTCCTATGGCTCAGTGGGTAGGGTACTGGCCCCATATACCAAGGGTGGTGGGTTCAAACCGGGCCCCAGCCAAACTACAACAATAACAAAAAAATAGCCGGGTGTTGTGGCGGGCGCCTATTGTCCCAGCTACTTGGGAGGCTGAGGCAAGAGAATCACCTAAGCCCATGAGTTGGAGGTTGCTGTGAGCTGTGATGCCACAGCACTCTACC